CGTCCCGCCGCCGTGGGGCCGCCGCCACCCCCTAAACGGAGGTGGTGCACTCGCGGGTGATGGGGGACGTGGGGAATTCATATTTCGGGGTGCAACGGTCCAAAGAACTGGAAGTACGGAGGGGGATCCCGCAAAGCCCCGGGTCGCGATCCCGACGTGCGGCGGTTCCTCCGCCACAAACAACACAGCAGCAGCACAAAAGGCGGAGGAATTCCCGGCGCATGTCTTTGCTCCGCAACGTGTAGATGATGGGGTTGGCGGCCGAGTTGAACGTGGCGAAAGCGAAAAAATAATTGGCTTTGTAAAGGATCCGACAAGCCCTCACCGGGCAAGAAGCATCCATCAAGAGGATGATGAAGGCGGGCAACCAACAGACGATGAAGGCTCCCAAGACGATGGTGACGGTCTTGAGCAAAGCCAAGGTTTGGGCGGTGGCGATGTCGGCGTGGCTGGAGCGGACGATGCAGTAGATGCGGGTGTAGAGACCGACGATGGCGAGGAGGATGAGGGTGAAGATGGTGATGACGAAGAGGACGTAACGTTTGGAATAAAGGGGGAGGACGGTGGAACAATCCCGAAGGTCGCTGATGCAATTCCAACCCATGATGGGGAGGCTCCCGATAGCGGCGGCGATGACCCAACAAGCTCCGATGAGTAAAACCATCCGGCAATTTTTGTCGCTGCTGTAGACCTTCACTTTGGTGATGGCGACGTGGCGTTCGATGGCGATGGCCAACAAGCTGAAGACGGAAGCGGCCAAAGTGGCGAAAGCCGTCCCTTCGCGGACGAACCATTGGACGGGCGTCAAGCGGAAAGTGATATCTCCGGAAAGTAAAATATTGACCATGAAAGCCAAGCCGGCTAAAAGATCGGAAAAAGCCAAATTGCCGATAAAAATATACATGGCGGAATGAAATTTCTTATTGTGACAAACGGAAATAAGGACCAAAAGGTTCTCCAAGACGATGAAGCAGCACAAAACGACGATGAGGATGGAGACGACCCAACGGGAGGTGGTGGAGGAGCTCTCCGAGCTTTCCTTCGTGTAGTTGTAGTGCTCCAAAATTTTTTTCGTGTTGAAATATTCTTTGTAGATGCTCCCCATGGTTCCGCCGCCGGCTTCGCTTTCCTTCCCC